GTTTGCCCCAGGTGAAACTCTGTTTGTTATGCTCCTGCCAACAACATTTATTTATGATCCATGTCATGAAAAATCTCCAATAATTGCTCCACGACATTTTAATGGAAGTCATTTAAACTGCAGAGCCCTTTTTTTTTTTAAACAGCATGCAGGCCTGTGCTGTTAAATCTCTTCTCCCAGGGCATTTATTCTTCATGTGGTTTAAACTTGTTGACTAATTTTTCAAGGTTTTAAACTATTTTGTAAAGCAAAAACACAGTATTTGGAGGCTTACTGCAGGCTACATGCCCTCCTCCTCCCCCACTTAGGAACTACCTTTGATAGCCCAATTGTTCTTTTTTTAAAGCATGCTTGTCTTCTTACAGCTTTCTCAAGCATGCAGTTTGAACTTGAGTAGGGGATCATCATCCTGCTGAGCATACTCAATGATATTAAAGGTTCTAAGATGATAGCCATTGATAAAGAATTTTTCAGGTGTGTTTGAATTATTTCTCCTTAAGAATCAAGACTAGCTGAAGTTGTAAATATTATTACTTAATAAAATGCATTCTAAAACTAACTAACACTTGAGCTTCTATTGGGCAAGGTTTCCAAAACAGCTTAAATTACTTATACTAACTGAACCTCGAAGGAACCCGTGCACTTCACTTAAGCATTTTGGGATACATGGCCCTTAATCGTTACCATATTTACTTACATACCACACAAACCTTTTTGCCAAAAATTAGGCTTCAAAAACTGGGGTGCACATCTTAAGCAGGGAAAATTATTTCCTGCCCTGAGTAGAAGCATGTTAGACCCTGCTGCTCCTTTGTCTTCTCTTTCCTTCAGCAGCTGCATGGAGGGGGAGACAGAGTCCAGCAGGGGCATGTCCAGGAGGGGTGCAGTGGTGCAGTCACACACTGCTTTGATTCTTGCTTCTCCAAAAGTTTAAACCAACTGTCTAGCAGTGGCATTTCTATTCAGGCAGTGCTGAGGGGATCAACTGACTTCAAGGCTCATTTTAATCTACCTGATTTCAGCTAACAGCTCTTCACAGAAAGGGTTAAAATAACAGGTTTTACCTGAGTAGGAAAGGGAGAGTGAATGAGCTGAAGATGAGGCTCTACGCCTGCTCTCTGCAGCCTTAACTCTGGGAAAAATTTTTTATTCATTCTGCCTTCCCAAAAACAAGGTGTGTGTCTTATTTTGGAAGGGGGGTGTGGTATAAAAAAACATCGTAAGTGAGTATTTTTAATCTTTGCATAGTAAAAATACAAGTTGATAAAGTCACAATATTCTGTGAATATTGCCCAGAGGAGGAAGCAATATTGCATTGACTGCAACAGGAGAAATGAGTATCAGAACACTTGAATACTACACTTCAACCTGCCACTAGTATATTCTGAGAGCTCAAACTGGTCACAAGGGCTAAAATTGTCAAGACTGGATACCCAAGATTAAGCACTTAATTTAGAAACCTAATGGAAGGATTAGGTAGAGATGATATCTTTTATTAGACCAACAAGATTTTTGCAAAAAAATTTTCTTTAACTGCAAGCTTTCAGGCCCAAACACCCTTCATCAGGCATTGGAGAAAAGATTGTAAAAGTTCTCCTGCATAGAAATGATATGGCTACAACTTGGATACCTAGTGGAAGGATTCACATATACTTCTGTAGACTTAAATCAGACTTCAAATGGCCTGATACACAAAGTATGCTGTGCACCTAAACTCCCAGTGAAATTGGTAGAAGCTGAAGGAGTTCAGCATCTTTGGAAATGAAGCTGCTCAGTCAGATAGTCAACTCTGTATACTCAAGCTTAGAAATGGGACAAATTCTATCCCAGTTTTCTGTCTACAAAAAAATATAACATTCCTGTCTGAGATCTATAAACTTCTTTGAAATACTGTATTTATCCAAATCTAAGATAAACCTGAATTTCAGACAACCCCCCCAGTAATGAGATTCTAAATATGGAAAATGTATAAATTTGTTATAATTTTTCAGGTATAAAATCTAATTATTGGAGTGTTGTCTTAAACTATCTTCCACTGCTTCAGCACGTAAAGCAGTGGTTGGGGGCTATGGGGAGTCAGGCACCCTTCTGGCCCCTCCACTTTTCCCCCTGCAGCCTTCCTGCCCCCCTCCCCCAGGTCCCCACAGCCTCTGCTTCCCCACAATCTCTGCCTGCCCCCCCACCCTGCCAGGCTTACTGTCGGATGCTGCTCAGGCTCTATTCTCCTGAGTCATGGAGCAAAGCACACTGAAACACAGCCCCTGCCAGGCCAAGGAGAAGCATCAGTGCTGCTGACTTGCTGGTCAGGGGATGGAGTTTCCACATGCTCCATGCCCAGGAGGTAAGTGGTGGTGGGGGCCATAAGCTGCAGAGGGAAGTGGAGAAGGGGGCAGGTAGCTGCTATGGGTCTGAGTCTGGCCCCAACCTGGGCTCAGGCCAGTTGGAGCCACAGCAGCTGCCTACCCTCCCTGCTTTGTATACAAACCTAAGATGAGCCCCCTTCACATCCCAACTGGGTAAAATCGATTTGTCTTAGATTTGAGTAAATATGGTATTTGCATGAAATCCACTATATAATGACAAGATATTTTATCTCAGTGTAAAAAAATATTTCATTTTCCAAATTCTCTTTTTAAAAATGTGCCGTTCCTCTCAGAAACCCCCCCCACCAAAGTCCACAGAAGTTTTGCTTGTAGGTAAATCTGGCAGTTTTTGCTATGTTCTGAAGAGGCGTAGTAGGCTGTTTTTATGGTATAGAATATTTGCTTCTGGGTTTATTATGTAGCATTGAGAAATCAGTTCTCCAAAGCTTCCAATTTCCTAAACATCTCAAAAGCTTGTTATAATCTTCAAGTCCACATAACATAACATTTAAGTCCACAATGGGAAGCTTTATATAATCAAGTCATTTGAGGTCTTTCAGATTTTTACTTCTATCTTTTATAACTGAGAAGAAAATAAGTATGAAATACAAGAGGTTGTTCTTCTTGAAACAAAGTGAAATAACAATTTTTTTAGGCCTGAAATTGATACACTTAAAACACACACACATTATACACAAAACTATGCTAAAACATCATTGAGGCTGGCTGGCAATGTCTAATACACAAAACTCAGGAAATGCCAAAATGAAGGGTGCCTGTGTCAGCCTAATTCAGCTTCCCTGTTATGTAGTAAATTTGGCACTTATATTACTGCATCAAGGCTGCTGGACTAAATAAGGGAATAATTAAATGCCCCTTTGTTTATGATAGCTGATATAGCTGAAAATCACTGTCCAAGGACCAGATTGCACACAAACCTTGGAAATGGCTGGGCTATCCAGTGCAAGAAGGTATCTGGAGGTCTTATAACGAACACAGGGTCAGGAGACTGATTTAAGTATGTTTCTGTGAGCAGAAGCAAACAGAAGCAGAGAAAAAAAGTCCAAAGAAAAGCCAAAAAAGAGGCAAGAAACATACTGCAACACTGCCCTGAAACAAGGCAAAAAGAGTTTTTAGTGGCTGACTTCGTAAACCTTAATAATGTTTCTTGGTAGCTGGAAAGAGGCTCAGAACTATGAGAAAAGAAACTGCCTCCTATTTGATTCCTGCTCTGTTCAAAGAAATGCTGAATATCATCGGCAAAAACAAACTGAAAACCTCAAATATTGACTATTTGGGCCAGAAGGAGTAATACTATTAAACACTCTTTTCCAAGCCAGTCCTGGTTTCACTCCTCTGTCCATTATCTGTCCTGGCTTCTCTCATCAGTCTCCTTGTTGCAGTCTATCACTCCTTTACCTCCCCTCCTCCTGCTGCCATCTCTCTTTTCCTCCCTACACTGAAATCAGACTACTTCCTCCATTCTGCCAGACTGCCACCAGGACCACCGCTGAGATCACAGAAGAGACAAGAGCCTACTTTCCCTTGCTGTGCCTGCTCGTACTATAGCCAAGAACAGCCAGAAAAACTGGAACAGCGTGAGCCCAAATTTTCAAACTGGAACCTCAAAAGTTAAAAATTTGAAACAGCAGCTTCACTGCTAGAGATACTCAACACTCAAAGGCCAAATCAGCCATTTCAAAGTTCGGTTTTGCCCTGGTTGCCCTGGGATGAAGCATGTGCAACGTGCAGAATTTAGTCAGCACGAAATGCTGTGAGAGGTTCAGCCATACCCAGAGAGGACAAATTCTTCCAAGGCAGGGCTGTCCAGCTTCAAGTTTTATTTGAACCAGATATATTTCATAAAAGTAAATTAATTAATTAATTGCACCTTCCATGCCTTTTTCTCAACGTGAGAGAACACAAAACAAATTACTTTGCTCGTGTTACATTTTAATCTGATTTACAGAGGAAATTGATGTTATTCAATGCTAGTTAATACAAGAATACCTGCATGCATACTACAAATAGCAAGATGAGTATTGCCTACATTCAGTGAGGCTCACATTTCTTACCATTTTTCACAAAGACCATCTGCCTAATGAAATCAGTCTTCCTTCCTCCTCAAGTACTGATTTGTATTACTAGTCCTGAATCAAAATAGTATTTTAAAAGATTCAGCTATTTCTTTTTAATCATCACTATATTCAACCACAGCAGAAAAGGAAACTCAATCATACAGAATTTGCAGATTGCCTAATGTTGAAAATAAAATATCCTCTCATTTACTTAAGCAGATGACAAGTCCCACAGTTGAACTATATAGTTCAAACTTTACTAGAGCTTTCAAGTGCAAATAAGATACACAAGCTAAATTCTGCTCATCTACAATCTTATTGAAAGAACTGGTGTTACAGAGATGTAGTGGCATATAATTTGGTTCTATGTTTACAGAAAGCAATACAAATTAACATCTATTTTCATGAACCGGTTAAATAGTGGAAGTGCCAGAAGTGGCTTTAAGTATACAGTTAATGTACACTGTGTCCCTCCTTCAAATAAAATTAGCCAACCTTTCCCAAGAGCTTTTTAGTTGATACCTCTACATTTTCTCTCTTAACTTTAAGATTAACAAACCTTTCCCCTCAAGTCTGAAAGATCATCTTCTCCCATTATCTGCATATCTTCCATAGACTTATCGTTCTGAAAAAAAGAAAGGCAATACTGTGAAATTTTAGTTAACTGATTGTTAAAGGCGAAAAATTAGTTTGGGATCTTCTGAGATCTCAATTATCACTACTTTATGCTAATATCAATGTTGATATTGGCAGAAACATTTCTTGAGCTTGTCTCTTTACTTTGTTTAGGTTAAACAATTTTCTCCTTAATGGCAAATGTCTTTACTAAGTTTTCTCTGTCATTCATATGTGATACTGGTTTTAATTCTAATTTCATCTATATGTAGCTTTCACCGAGTTGGACAAAATTTCTTAATATTTTAAGGAAATGACGTTCTCATGTTGTTCATTCCTAGCTTGACAAATGTAAAGCAGCATAATTGCTTCCATACCTCCACTTCTTTACCTCTCAGTACAAAAGGAAGAACCAAAACATATGCCCATTTCACAACAAACACCTGTGACCTCTTCTTAGCAAAATTTTAATATAGCCAAATATGCCAACAGGCATTACTCATAATGTATTTTAGGCTAGTTTAGAACAAATGCACTTGGCTAATTCTAGTAAAGAAGAGAATCTGAGTGAATTTACCACCCCTGTGTGATGGACTATGGGTTTTGTTGTAATAGTTGTTTTAAATGTGTTCATGTTGTAATATTGTTGCATGTTCCCTGGCTAACATGTAAATATTGCCCACCAGAAAATTAAAGGAAACAAGGAAGCCATTTTACACCCCAAGTCTGCAAATTATCAGGAACTTGATTAACCTTCAATTTTATACCAACTCATGTATATACACATAAACATAACATTGAAATCTTGATAACGTCTTTCAGTAACCCTTCACTCAGGGACAGATCCAGAGGGTATGTGACACTGCACTAGTGCTCTCAATTTTGGCTCTGCAATGCATGTGCACTTTGTGCAGTGAGTTCTTGGAGCTCACTGGCATGTTAGTGAAGCTCCTTCTGGGAGCTCTTCATGTACTGTGAGCTCTGCAAGCTCACCAACTGGACTTTCAGGCAGCTCTGGAGCATGATGCTGTAGGGTCTTCCCTCCCTCCTCAGGGTAAGGAGAGGACAAGCAGCTGGCAGATATGCTTTCACAGAGCTCCAGCGGTTTTGCACCACTGGTGTTTGTCCCCTCTTCTCCTTTCCTATGCTGCTGAATTCAGGGTGTGGGAAGGAAGAGGAAGGAAGAAAAGAGCAAACAGGAGAAGGTGCCAGAGTTGCTTGAAAGCAGGGACTCCAGGCTGACCCACACATGCAGCACACGTGGAGTTCCCAAAAGAAACTCCACTGACGTGCTAGAGAGCTTAGGGAGGTCAGGGCCATCCAGGATCAAGGGGTTACTGTGTAGAATATGCACAATGAGCGTATTTCACTGTGCACGTGCCATGCAGCTGAAGGAGTTGTGGCCGCACTCCTGTCTCCATCATCTTAAGATCCACCTGTGCCTTTACTAAAATCTCTCCAGGTATGGAATGCAGTCTTCAATAAGATAGGTTCCTTTCCCACTTCAATGATTCAGTGTTAAGTAACAGAATTTATTCCAAACAGGCTGCTGAGAAATTTTGAACTCTCGGAGAGATGGAACATAAAACAATCCACCTTCTAGGAAATAGATTTTTCTTTGATTTCAAGAAGTAAATTGGTCAGATATGCATGCAGAGAGAGAATTATTATTAGTATACCCTAGGGCCAACTTTATCAGAACTGCAGTAGTTATTGAGAGAAAGTGAGATTTGCTCAGCTAAAAGATAACCCCATAACAATTATTCAGTAGTATTTCTGGGTTAAAAACAGAAAACGGGAAAAGAGAATTAGATGAGTGAGAAGAGAGATTAATAAAAGAAGATATTTTTTAAACTTAAAAATCTCTTTAAGCAATTGTACATCTCTTTCCTTTGTATGTTGGTATTTTGGGCTTCAACTGTAAGAAAGATGCTAGAGCAGCAGCAGAATTGCTGGTAAACAGTTTTGCAAGTATAAACACAAGAATTTTTCAGAGCACAGGGATTACAGTAGCCCAACAGAAACAGAGAACTGAATATTCATAGATCATTTACGCTGTCACAACTGTACATAATTATGTAAAAACCTGTGCTATTACTAGCTAATAACTACTGTCACGTACAATGATAGGTATTCAGTCTATCTTCTGGGAAATATCCCTATGGCAAACATGCAACTCTCAGTCCCAGGATCAATCTGGGTGTATGGAATCATAAAAATTAAAAAAAAAGGAAGACAGTTATGCATCACTACTGTGTTATCCTTTGGCTGGGACAATTCTGTTTCAGAACAAAAATTTTTTTTTTTTTAAATCATAAAAATATTTTCACTTTCATGCAGTCAATTTATAGCTCTAATAAAAATATTACCCAGAGTGACACTGCATCAAAAAACATGATATTGTAAAAATCATAATGCATTCAGAAAATGAGAAAGAGTTATGGTTGCTATAGGAACCTCCCTTTGATTTTTCTCACTTTCAGGTTTTAGAATTTCAGATTAACGTTGCATGCAGTTTTAAGATTCATATATTATGAGCTTACTTCCCACAAACATAGATATCAGAGATGAAACATATTAAAATATTCAGTACAACTCCACATTCATTCAAGATTATTCTCTACAGCACATTTTTAATTGCTTTACCCTGTGTAGTCTTAAAAATCTCCAGCAGTAAGGTTCTCACTTCTTCCATTTGGGAGATAATCTCAGTCTGATAAAACTCACTGATAATAGGGACCAACAGGGTCTTCCTACACAGAGTTTCCTAGTGGTTCATGTTGCAGGTCTCTCTCATAAATTTCTCTCTTAAGACCCTTCAGCATTATGTCTTCTCTGAACTGGAAGGAGTTCAGAGGGAAGGAACTTTTTCCTGCTAAAGTATTTAAGACTGAATGCAGTATATCAGGTGGAGTAATACTAAAGCCACAGACTCCAACTTTGAGCACACAGCCCCCAAAATATACTGGCCAATTTTTTAACATTACAGTCGCAGCTAATTTGGGTACATTGTCACCCTTAGCTCTTATTCAGCGTAAGATTTTGAATTAATATTTCAGATTATTTTTCCCCTGCGCGGGCCGACTCCCGATCTGCCTTGGAGTCATTAAGGCTCCGAGGGGACGATAAATAAGTCCCGCGGAGTTGTTGAAGCTCCGTGGGTTCGACAAATTAAACCTCTGTTGCCCTCTTAAGGAAAAAGCTGGGTTCGTAGGGATCAGCAGCGCTTAGAGATCCTCACGCTCCTTTCCCGAACTCCACGTGCTTTCTCGCTCTCCGATTTGGGCGGAAACCACCCAAGCCTTTTGTACGGCTAGCAAGCCAATAGCTAGACGCCACGGGCGCTTACATTAAGACTGGCCAATAATGTGGCGCGAATCCTAATACAAATGGCAGTGACTCCTTGCATCGCGCATTGCTATAATGCAAAAGAAATGCACTATGCAAAGAAAGCTACAGAACTGGCAGGAAAAGCTCCTGCACGCGGGTTCTCTGTTGCAGCAGAACACTCCACCGTGCAAAAGAGCTGCAATTTGGCGGGAACATGATTTAGCGATGCCGAAGCGCACACAAATAAAAAACCCCACAACTTTGGGTTGTGACATCCCCCTGGTGTATTAACATGTCTTTTTCCAAGCTAGGTCTCATTTGCTTGATGCTATTTTATTTTTGGTATTTATATCTTTATTATTATATGACTGTATCTATTTGGGGGCACCTCAGAGAGAAAACAGAATATTTCTGTGGCCACCTTCCCTTCTCAGAGTTTCCAGTGTAGCACTCTGTTTGACTTAGATGCTGACTGGCAGTACAGCCTTATAAATTCCATCTATATTGAGTCACGTCTTTTAAAATGGGCAGGGCAGTGAATTATTAGTTCCTTCACTTCTCTAGAGACTAGTGCCTGGCTTTAGCACAGACTACAAGTGAAATGAGTTGGGTGGTCTCACAAAATTTCTTGTAAACAGCATTGCTCATATGAAAACTGCAAAAGGAAGTACACATCTGCCAGTCTGTACTTAATGAATAGGATCTGGATTACATAGGTACTGTACTTGCAGATGAAACACGCTCTAAACATGCCAAACAGAGCTCCAGCTAATCAGTTCAAAGTTGAATCTGTATTATAAAACAGGAACAAGACAACTTCATGTTCATCCATTTTCCTACAACCTGGACAGTTCATTCATATTTTTTGCAAAATGATGGTTAGTTTTGTGCTCATAAAGGTAAAACTGTGTTGAAACTGAAACAGTTTGATCCTTGCCTATATTCCACCTGTTTTGCAGTGCTGTACTAAATAGAAAGCACCTAGAAATCTGGTAGATCTGTTAAGCTGAGAATTCCCTCAGTTAGGACTGTATTGTTTTGCACCCTCAACCTGTTTTCTACCATTGGGGGATTCTCAGGGAAAAGGTGATGGTCAACAGATTCTGCTGATTACCCTTTGGGGCATCAGATAGCTGGATATAATTTAGAAGAGTTACAAGGCCATTTTAAATTATGATTCATTAAAGATTATCCTCTTTCCCAGCACCCCCCTCCCGTGGTCCCAGAATCAGAGAAATGCAAAAGTAAATTAAAGCCAGCTTTTCTCCCTTAGCTAAACTGAGTATATTATCTTGGTCACAGAAGGGAATCCAGCTCTGACATCTACTATTTATCCTCATAATATACGTACAGCATTAACAATATCAGAGAAATATTCTCCCACTAACAAGCTCCAATTCTGCCCTAATGCATCCACCAGTTGAAAAGCAGGGATAATTCATAATCTTCACATGCTAAGTCCTCACTTTCCATTAGACTTTTCAGCTATGGTGGTTGAAGCTATTGCTACTGTAATGGGGAGTTCTTTGATTTTGACAACTGCTTATTAGGAAACGGACCAAGACCACCAACTTATATGACAGAGACCACACTAAACATCATCTGAAGGAAATGACTTTCTGTCACTCCTGACATGGGGCAGATTAGACACAATAATATAAAGGTGAAAGACTGTTTCTC